GCAGGTGGATCTCTGAGTTCAAAGTTAGCCTCATCTACAGAGCAACTTCCAGGACAGCCAGGGATATACAGAGAAACCTTGTTTTGAAAACACAAACAAAATAATAATTTTAATTAAGATATAATAGAAAATTTTGTGAAGACTAAGATTAAAATGAATATTAGTGCTGTGTACATAAAAAGGAGACTGAACCTCACAGCTCTGATGCTTTCCTAGGTCTTCCTTTTAATAGAGTATTTTGGTAGTTACAAATTACTATTAATACCAGTGTGCCTTCAATCTGTTTCTATAATTATTAAGATACATAAAGGATCATCTGTGGATAATGTTGATGTTCAATATTATTGTGGTAGATATTAAATACAATGAAGGATGGGCTCTATTTTATGGGTATATATTGTGCATGGTTACTATTTTTGAGCCATCAAAAAGATTAGCCGGGCGGTGGTGGCGCACGCCTTTAATCCCAGCACTCGGGAGGCAGAACCAGGCGGATCTCTGTGAGTTCGAGGCCAGCCTGGGCTACCAAGTGAGTTCCAGGAAAAGGCGCAAAGCTACACAGAGAAACCCTGTCTCGAAAAACCAAAAAAAAAAAAAAAAAAAAAAAAAAAAGATTAAATCTACACAAGTACTCCACCGATCTGAGGCATAAGAGGGAACTATTTGATATTTACTGTAGGTCAAGAAGTCAGCAAGGCCTTCCTTTATCTGACATCATGTACAACATAAAAGAGGAATGATTTTGATGATTACATATTATTCACCAAGTTTTAAAATGTATTGCTTAAATCTTATTAGCAATAGAAATATCACTGGTCCTTAAATAAATTTAAAAATTTAAATCTTAACCCTGAAATTATTTGGCACCATTAACCTATCTGAAAGAAGAAATGAATTTGAGAGTGTTTTAACATTCATTGGTTAAAGTAAGAATATATAAAATTTTCTACTCACCAAATATGCTAACATTTTAAAATCTTTTTAATTATGAAAAGTATGAGGCTTCTCACAATATTTAACTGAGAACCGTGTGCAAAAAAGAATGAGAAGCGTTAATTACAATGCGAAGCACATTTTTCTCTGATGTTAAGTATTTCTCCTTCGGCATTGACCAACTTTTCTACAAAATCACGGAAATATTTAGTAGATAGTCACAAATCTGGATTGTCTCTGTTTGTTGTTTTTAGTAACATAGAAATTGAAGTCTTTACATAGAAAACTACTTCCTTCTATGCGATCTATAAATCACCCTCCAACACCACTTGAGATTTTCCACTAAAAATGGTGTTTTAAATTCTAAATTCAGTAAACAAGCAGAGGCAAACTCGTTACCAGCAGAAAAAAAAAGCTGAAAATATTAATCTGTCAGACCATTCAAAATCTAATTTTTCTTTTGTTTTCCAAGCACAATATCACAATAGTATTAGTCTATAATTCTTATTAAAAATCGAGTTTAAAATATGATACCCTTTAGGGCTATAGAAGCCAATACAAAATACTGCAAATACTGTCTCTCAACCTTGCTAAGGTCACCCATCAATGAACACGATAAATAGTAGTAGTAGACTGATTTTAATGGCACATATAAACCAATGCTAATCTATACCTTCACTAACTTCTATAGGCAGTAATTCAGAATACTATAAATGTGCCATCACATACAGTAGCTAGGCAGGACATGTAAGGATGCAATAACTACAATGTCCATAACTTTATTTGAAATTATTTAGTAGGAAATATACACATAAAATCAACCACATACAATCATAGAGAGGCATAAAAGAAATGTGGGAAATGTCAACAGTGTACTATTCTTTCAACATATAGGTCTGAGAAAATGTTGATATTTTAAATGATAGTTGGACTCCACTGATTTATCTTAAAAGTAGAAGAGTATTTCTTAATTTTAAAATATACAATGTCTATAATCATAAAGAGAACCAGTATTTTCCATTTTCCTTTAAATTACTTTTCATAGTTTATTGGGTGTTTCACATTTTCAATTTTCTTCGCATTAAATACTAATGTTTTCCATCTGAACTAGCTATGAATAATTACTACTACCAATTAAACTGAAGTACATATGAGTTCCAGACTCAAGTCTTCAGACAGTCTGCTTTTCTTTTGTATTTTACACTCCCAGGCCTCTCTCCAGCAGTCACTGTGGTTAGTTACTTTCTCAATTTATCTATCCTCTTAATACTAAAGACAGGGTGTCTCTCACATTAGCCACATTTCAAAGCCTGTGAGCACTCGCTGTATAAGAAAACTCTCTTTGATTATGCATGTCTTAGAGAAAATCATAAACTAGTCATGTTTTTGTTTTATTGTGGTGGTGATGTTACAGAAACACAGTAGGTCTCACATTGCACCACAGACACCAGAGAAGCTAAGATTCTTTATGCTATGGTGTCTTTGCATTTTTCTCTCCAGATTTGCAAAATTCCAGATTTTTTCATAGTGAAGCCAGTAAAGCACAAGGTAAAGAACATCACTTGTTCTAAAACCATCCTACTTTCCCTACATGCACTATTGCAGCTACTTATTAAAGCAAGGTTTATTGGTGCTTTTATTAGATAATAATGACTAATTTTTTTCCTAAGTGTATTTTAACAATACATTTGCCATCAGAAAATTAGAAAAATAAACTTCTTATAAACATAGCTTCTACCAAAACATCACACTCTCATTTGATGACTGATTACTTAAAATGTTTCCTCCACTTTCATGTCATGAAAATCACTTCAAAGTGTACAATATATAAAAGTTTACATTTGGAAAACATCTGGTCTCTCAGGTTATTTGGGAGCTTGCTTAGTATTTAAGGGCACTATTGAGGTGATGTGTTTGGAAAGGATTCACTTACCACTCTCTGGCTGCATGAAGAAGTAGCCCCAAAACAAATGTGGTTATTCACTACTACCATAGAGAATCAATAGCCATGTATTTAATTTGCTAAGACAATGTAAATTAGTAACTTCCAGCCAGATGTGTGATATACACATCAAACAAATGGCAACCTGTTCATTATGGAAATCCTGTCAACACACACAGAACCAACTGATGACATTTCATCTGAAGCAGTTTTCACATTTTCAGCTATAAAAATTGTTCTGAGAATTTTTATACAAAGAATTGGAGCACAGACTCATAAAATGGGTAACCAACGTCAGCTTTCCATCTTGTGCGCCTGTGCATACATGCTTCTTTCTGTGTGTGTGCTTCTGTTTTCAGTTGAGGTACAAAATGTTCAGTAAATGCTACTTTTCCTTCCTTAAATCATGTACTTTCTACCATCACTTCCATTTTAATCAGATGTAAAGTTAAGGGTCTAATTCCACAGCTCTGAAGAAGTGTGTAAAGAAAAGTGCAGACAGCAGAAGGAAAAAGAACACTTACCCACTGGAAAAACAAAACAGAATATTTCAAAATGACTCCAAACAAATTAAGCTTACCCATTGGGAGGTTGAGCTTTCATTCAGATCATTTGTTGGGGTCTGTGTGGCTATATACACTGTTGTTTGATAAAGAATGATTACTAACTACAGGCACCATCAGAGAACAGAGGTTATATAAAATGCTTGTTTTGGCTCAGACACACAAAGCACCTTCCTTAACAATGTTCCTTTCTTTTCCATGGTAAGCAGACATAATTTTTCACCCTTTAATACTTCTGCTTCATGGGTTTATTATATGAATTATGCCTTGCCAATTTCTCATGTTTATTTTAATAATATGAAAGACCGTGCCCATTAGATAGATGGATTGTTTCATGATACCCAAAATAATGGTATGTGGTATGTTTTTACTCTGTATTAAAATACACTACCTCCTTGCTATTACAAAAATCGAATCTTTCTTTTAATATGGTTTACTAAAAAGTGAGCAATTAAAATATTCTTAATAACCACCTACTATTTTTAATCAAGCAATCCTTACTCAAGTTTATTTTCTGAAACTACCGAATTTTCTTATTAAACAAAGCATTGAATGTTACTGCTAAGCATATTTCATATTTCCAGCCACTACATTTTTTATTTGACAACTTAAAGCAATGTGGAATGAATCCAAACCTCATCTTGTATTTTATACTCTATTCCAAAGAGCATCTTTTAACCAACTTCCTAATGTCAAAATAGCATTTCTGCTAAGTATCTGGTGTGTCAATACTTCCAAAGTAAAGAATTTCTGAGGTCCCCTAAAATCACAAGTTTTCAACCCCTTAAAAGAATAATAAATGAACACACAAAAGATTTCTTTATAAAGACTTCAACCCTAAGCAGCTTGACTTTCACAAACACTGCACAGAATATGCTCCTTCAGCAGGCACATACTAGACCTTGTCATTGGCTACAAGGTATGTTTCTGGAAAGAACAAGATTCCCATGCAGCAGCTGCCCTGTCTGTCACGCCCCGCAGATCCAGAAGATGTTTCAATCTAGCACCCACCAATTAGTGTTGCCTAACCTACAGCCTTTGCTTTCTAGGGGTTAACGTTAGACTCTCCTGGCCACTCAGGTCCCTTTTTTGATTCAAGGAAAAAAGAAAAAAGAAAAGAAAAAAAAAAAAAACACTCTTTCAGAATTCTAACTTTGATTGGAGACTCTGTTTGAAATTAAGAACTTCAAACCCGAGATCTGAAAAAGTGAAACAGATGTCCAGTTTGTTAATAGTAAATGGCTCCGTGCGTCGGATCCTTCTCTCTCTCTCTCTCTCTCTCTCTCTCTCTCTCTCTCTCTCTCTCTCTCTCTCTCTCTCTCTCTCTCTCTCTCTCTGCCGCATTAAATTTTATTTAATACAGGATTCTTTTGAAAAGAGAGCAAATATGGACAGTATTGGGAAAACTCCTAAATCTTTTCCTAGAAAACGACGAAGGGAGCCTTCAAAGTCCTCGACCCGCATCACAAGGCCTCTCCTGGGAGACCTGAGCCTGACCGAGCACACAAAACACAGGCCCTCAGTTGGAGAAGGCGGTCTCAGGCTGGCACTCAGGCACTCACGTGAGGACGTAGTTGACGCTGACGATGCAGTGCGGCCTGGAGGAGCGGCTGTTGTGAACGATGGTGGCATAACTCTGTACCCAGACCCAGCCGCCGTGCTTCGCCAAGAACCTGTAGTACTTGGTGGTCACCTGCCCCTTCACCAACACTAGAAAGAGAGGCAGATGGTAGTGAACCAGCCTGTCCTAGACAGGTCCAAGTGCCTGGTGGTTTGAGTGCAAAGCCCCTCAATGCTGTAACAACTGCGCCAATGCAGGTGGGAGAGGTGGCAGGCAAATTCCCAATCAATCGATTGCCCCACTAACAGATATCCATTATATGCTAATGGTTGGTATGGTCCCTCCTGGGGCCGCTGTCTTCCACACTAGCAATGGGGAAAACACCAAAAGTTAACGGTTTCCCACCTTCCAGACTAGCTTTTCCTACTGCATAAGGGGAAGTCCAGCTCTAAATCCTCAATCCTGGGAGATTAAGCTCTCAGCAAAGCTATATCAAAAGCAAGGTGAGTTAATGCGCGTGAGGAAAGCAGCCTAGGTTGTTTAAACAGTTCTCTCGTCCTTTAGTAATGTTTGCAGGTGAAGAATGAAACCCCACTGGAGGAACGCCCCTCCCACTCCCTTAGTATCAGCAGCTCCATTAAGTCCGAGATACCAGACTGGGTCGCCGCAGCGGTCCCTTCCCGAGTCTCTCGTACTACTACCACCCCTACCTCTCTAGGGAGAACCCCCAGCAATCTGCTTGGACTTCAGGCCTCCAGCTCTGCCACTCCCTGGAGAGTAGGGTGGGGCCTTACGTAAGTGGTGTGCGCAGCGTAGGTGGAAGGTGTCGCAGCCGTGCACGTGATGGTACAGGGTCTTCTCAATCAAGTCCTGAGGTTCATACCCAGTCAGCTCCGCCACCCTGGGGGAAAAAAATCCCCTAGGGATAAATGTAGGACTTTTCATCACCCCTTACCTGGGTTCCTGGCCCCATTTCTCAAAACCTGGTCAGATGCCCCACCTGCAAAATGGGCTAGTAAAGTCAAGGGAATGCTCTCCCTCTCTAAACACTGTCATTCTTTAGAGTCCCTTTCTTGACTGCCCACCCACCTGGAGTCCAGGAAAATAAGCTTCATGTCCAGACTGGCTCGGAACATGAACATGTTGCTGTGTAGTTTGATTTCTGTGACAGCGCTCGGAGGCAGGGAGTGACCCACGGCCACCAAGCCCACATTCTGGTAACACCCATCGAAGGGCGACATATCCAGGCTGTACTGGCGGATCTTCAGGTAGCCGCTACAGTGAATGACCTGTGTTGGAGGGGGAGGGGCGAGACTCAGCAGAGGTCAGGAAGAGCTCCCTAAAGGATGCAGAGGAGTTTGAAACAAGTTAAGATTCTATTTGGTCTCAAACCATAAGGTGCCCCCAAAAGAGTGACGGAGCTTGTAAAGCAGAAAATGAAGAGAGAGACGTAAACGGCCTTTTGTAAACCAAATCCTACCACAGATGAATTGGGGCAGGGATCCTGCTCTCCAATGATTCAACTAGAGAACCCCAGCTTGCAGCTAAGGCTTTGGTCCTTAACTCACTGAGAGCCAAATGACTGGGGGTTCAAAAACTTTACAGTTCCAAAGGCTCCTCTTTAAAAACAGCCCATTGTCCTGGCTTAGTCTTTTAAATGGCCCCCAAGTGCCCACAAAGTTTAATGACCTTTCAGGGCTGCACTACAAATGTGGTTCACAAGTGTGGTTCCTGGGGCAGGAACCCACCTCCCTTACCCCCAGAAGCCTCGAGCCCTGCCTGGCCACCCTTAGAGTGGACTTTCCAACTCAACCACACACCTTGTAGCCACCGCAGGTGAGGCCAGCATTCCGCTTGGCCAAAACACACTTCATCCTCAGAAAGAAGGAACGTTCGATCTCATACTCTGTGAGAAAGAAGAGGAGGAAGGCTCAGGACTAGAGACAGGCAGCCAAAAGAAGCAGTGTCCCAGCCAAGATGAACTGGGGGAAAGCCCCCAAGCTGACTGGCATGAGCAGGTGCTTAAGGCCTGTCTAACTCACCCTGTACAAAGTGCGAGTGGTAGGGCTGGTGGGCTGTGAGCACCGCTGTCATCTCATCGTGGTCAGCCGGGTGGATGTATTCATAGATGCTGTTCCCAGTCAGCTCCACCTGTAAAGAGGAGGGGTCACCATCTCTGCGGCTGTACAATGCCCCCAGAAGAAGCTGAGAACTTGCATCAGTGCATCTGTAGGGCCATAAAGATGGAATAGGTTCTGCTGCTTGCTACCTGGTCCATCTTATCTAACTCTCAGCTTCCTTACCTGTAAAATAATCATAAACATCAGTAGCATTGAGAACAATGATAGTCACAGTCACATCCCTTGTAAGGCTTGTAAAACAACATAAACTCCTCCCACCATGTCTGGCTCATGGTAAGAATTCTAAAAAGTAGCAATTGTTTAAACCTGCAGTAGAAGCTAAAGGAGGAGGGAAATCCAGGTAGGGGGTGATTGAATCCCCCTGTCACATGAGAGGCTTTCAGTGTCCAAATGCAGATGTAAAATGATTGGGAAGCCCTCCCCACAATTCCAGCTGTGAACATTGCAGGCTGGAAGGATGAACCACTCACCTACCTGAGAAAGGCCCAGGTGAACCGAAGCTGTCTCTGAAATGTACATGATCTTTCCATCTGGGGCCACCACGAAGATGAAGCCATCCAGAGTCTGGGGAGGCAGAAATAGAGTGAGAGATCTGAAGGAATGAAGCGAGCAAGGGGAACAGAAGTTAGACAGAGTCAGTGCAGATGGATGGGGCTGCGACAGAGGGTCCAGAAACAGGACACAGAACAGCCACAAGAATCTCCTGCTTTGAACTTCCCAGGCCCATAAGTGTGCAGCACATTGACAGGTCCGTGTGAGGCTATGGACAAGGCTAGTGTCCTACAAAGACTCAAGACCCACTGGGAAAAAAAAAAAAGAATCTGTGGTACACAAAAGTTCTGGATGTGGGAGTCGAATCACAGCCTTCAACAGGAACAGGAAATAGGTTAGGCCCTGAGGATAGTGGTTCCAGTAAGAACCTGTGTCAATATTGAAGGGTTCCATGGTGACAGTAATCAACAGTGAAGAGAGTAATAGCTGGGCTTGAAAAATATCCAGTACAGCAGACACTGGTTGACATGGAAGAACTGGCAATTTGAGGTTATAGACAGAAGGAAGCTGGCCAAGACTCTGAAAGAGTCAGGAGAGGGGGATTTAGGAGATGAGAGGCTTTGCTCAGCAGCCAGTCTGTAAAGTAGTGTGACACTGTATGTTTGTGTATGTTTACACTGATGCATCAAGCTGGCAGGCTCTTTGCAAAGAAACTTCTTAGACTTTCCCTGTCCCTTCATCTCTGTGAATGAGGCAATGGAGACCTACAATAAACCAGACTGCTCTTAAGGAGCTCAGAGGGACAACTAGCCCGAAGATAAATGTGTTGACCACACAATTAAGTAGATAGAGCTGAATAGACAAGAGACCCAGAAACTATGCATTACAGAGGCCTTGAAGAACTTGAGTTCAGTAGACCCCTGAAGAGGAAGAAGCAAGGACTGAAGAGAAGAGCATCTCAAGCAGAAGAAATGATGTGATAAAGTCAGAGACTGAGGGGAGGGCTGGTCTGATGTGTTAAGAGCTGGTGAAACTGGTATGAGATGGGGCTACATAATTACATACTCAGTGAATTTTTAGAGTTTGGGATGTCAATTTGAGGACCCTGCAATTGCCCTGGCAGGCATTGTGATTCTAACAGAATCTAAGCAAGAGAATAATATGTTTTTATGTGTTCCTTTTTCCTGGCAGAATCATCTACAGGAGTTTGGATGAGGAGCTCATATAGCTTCAGGCCTGAATTCACATCTAGGAAAGGGGAGAGTCTAATTTAAGGATGGCACTGAATGCAAATTTTATATTAATTGGTGGCAGAGAGAGAAAGTAAGGTTGATTTCCTGACTTCAGAAAGAAGATTATGCAGAAGGCAGCACCATTAACTAGGCTGAAACTTAGAGAAACTGAGGTTTTGTTGTGAGTCTGTGTCACCTCTCCAGCTGGAAACCCGGGTGTTATGTAAGTAGAAGTCTAAGAAGGGAGATAATGCAGTCTTGTCTTAAATGTGTCTAGTTGGCAGTAGGAAACAAAAGTTGGGAGACCAGCTGGAGTTACAGGGACTAAACAGTTCAGGAGGCAAGTGCTGGTTTACGACTTGCAGGAGTCTTTGGAGCTGTGAGAGGAGAAAGGAGTTAAGACTTTTCCAAATGACATCACAGGCAATGGCATGACATTTTAAAAAAGAGACAGGCAGAAGAGAAGACAAATGGAAGAGATTGTTGTTGAAACACAGGAAAGAAGAGTGTCGCCATGAGGGTCACCTCCTTCTTTGCCCAAATGATGCTTTTTTCACCAAGTCCTCTCTAATTGGGCCCATTCCAATTTAGAGAGGAGGCCTCCTCTTTCCCTTTCTGGTATTTCTCTGTAATACCCACACCACCAGAAACACCAAAGCACTCCTAAGAATGGAAACAGGGCTGTTCCTGTGGCACACCACTCATCTTCCTGTGCCTGTTAGTTGAATGTGCTCAGTTAAGTCCTTGATAACAGATGTGTGGCAACTGTGTAGGGCCCAATGGGGGGAAATCAGACTGCAGGGAAGTGGGAGCCAATGGAGAGGAGAGTGAAGAACCCCCTGAACTTCACAGAGTGTTAAAGAAGAACTGTCAGAAGCCTGGTGAGGAGTGGAAAGAAACCCAAGAAAAGTATAAAGGGAAAAGCTGTTCGGGTTTTATTTTCCTGCTCATATTGCTAGGAAAAAATATATAGAAACAAGGAGAGATGGCATGGAAGAGCTGGTACCGAGGTAGGATGTCTCAGTGAAGGGAGCTATGGGCTTTTCTAGATGAATTCAAAGTGGAGGCCAGACCAGTGGGGAAATACCCAAGTCCTCTCTTTGTTAGGAAAACTAAAACCTATTTGGTCTCTAGGACTCAGCCACTGCTGGCTGCTTCACTGGGCTTCTCAGGTTCCAGGCTACCACTCTAGGAGACCCCAGTGGACCTGAATAACAATAGAGGGTGCAGGGTGGGGGACAAGTGTCACACTGAAAAATGCCACTGGGAGCATTATTATTTAAAATATTTGCTCTGCGACTTAAGCCGCCAACAGGCAGTTAAAAACCCTCTGCACTGCAAATAACAAGGTGATGGCCACCTCACATTGTTTAAACTCATCTTTGGGGGTGCATATGTGTGGTGTTGCTGGATTTGTACAGAGCTTGGGCTAGCCTGAAGTGAGGGGCGCTGGCAAAAGGAGTGTGCCTGGGAACTACCGGGAAGAGACGAAATGAGTTGCAGACGCAGCTGGATCCGGAATGCGCCAGCTTAAAGCACCGAGGGCATTTACAGCAGATTCCGGTTATTTCCTTTGCAAATTCTTCATTTCAGATGCTTCTTCAGTCCTGCCTCCCAGGCCTGGCGCAGCGCATTTCAGTTTTCTTAGCCGAAAAGCGACAAACGGAATCCCCTCCCTTGGACGGAGCCCTGCTGGGGCCTTGCCAGGCTGATTTGCAACCTCAGGGTCTTGGTTGTCACTTTGCTTCCCCTTCAGCCTCCCAGGCACCACTGGCCCATCCTCACCCAGCTAGATTAAGAACTCAGATTTAAGGAAAGCTGTTGTGATCTCCCTCTCCCTTTTTTTTTTCCCTGAGAAAACAAAAGCCCGGGTGGTGCCCAGGAGATCGGGAATCTTGTGCCTGTACCTGGAGTAGATGAGAGCCGAGTTCTCGACCAACGTTGTCCAAGGGACTGGTTCGACTGGTGTGGCCCCACGCCTCGCCAAGCCCTGTGGAGACACACAACCTTCAGCACAAGAACCCGGGCCCTGCTGGCAGTCGGGGCTAGAGTGCGAATACGCTTCTCTCACTCCGGGAGCCGAAGCGGCGCGGGTTACATTCGCCCGATTTGGGATCCGATCCGCGGGAGTGGGAGACTGGGTCAGCTTGCAGCTTCTGTCCTGCAGGAGTTCTAGTGGCCTCAGGCCTGGACAATCCCAGCGCTATCTTCGAAGTGGGTTCCTGTTCTGTTTAGCTGGTGGGAAGAGTATTTTTCGTCCCAAGTTTTCATCCTCCTCCTGATAAGCAGCCCGAGAGAGCCCTCACACTTTGCCAATGCAACTGCCACCCAAAGAGACCAGAGGCCACAGACCACATAGGCTCGGTCCCAGGTGGCCTTTCTGATTGGCTGCCGGGCTTTTCTGGACGCTGGTTTCCTTCAGCCTGACCTGAGTATCTTGGAGAAAGCCCTAATTGTGGTTGACTTCCAGCTTCCCTCTGCCTCATCCTTGGCACCCCATGCCCCCCGCCCCCCCAAAAAACACCAACGACTTATTTGGGGTCGGTTACGTTGAGGTGCCAGCCATTGGACACTATTTTCGCTCTATTATTGACTTAGAATCGGTTTCCCAACTTCTCTAGTATCATCTATCAACAAAGACAGGCAGTTCCTTCACTTAGTTTTAGCACGTTAACCTTTCAAGCCTTTTGCACAAACTTTTTCTGAATATGCTTTAAGAAATATTTATGTAAGAATCCCCATTTTTAATATAAAATATGGTCTACTACTTGTATCAAGAATGAAATAAAAATAAGCAAAAAAGTGCATAGGCATCTTTTAAATGTTACTGATAAAATTATTTCAATAGTTAAATCCTTTCGTTTTCACATCACAACAAGATTTAACCGTTTTCCTTTTTAAGGTGATCTATTTCGTTAGTGACAAATACTTTGAAACGTACACCGTGACAAACACGCTCGAATTGTAGTATAGAAAGTGGAAGAGTTTTTCACAATAAAACATCCGGTTAGACTTTTCTGAAGGCATTAGCTAGGACCTGCTTCCTAAGCAAGTGATCAAAACCCTGACAACGAGTAACGGTAAGCGCCCCTCAGGCTCAAATGGGGTCTTTCTGGGTGTTTGCACACCTAAATAAATCTAACGATTTCCGCACTGCTCTGCAAATACTGCGGCTCCACTCCTGTGACCGCCTCCCTCCGTTAATAGTGCAGCGTGATCCTTCCTGACGCTCGAGCACGTCTAAGATTCCCTCCCCGAGTGACTCCGTGATCCTAGTCCCAGTCATCCTCGTGGACCAGTACAGAAGGGCCTGGTCACAGTCACCCATACAAACCCCTTCGGTTTGCCTCCCCCTCCCCTCTCCTCCTCTCGAGTTTTGGCCACTTAAAGGAGTTGGCCACACTAAGGAAACGAGAAAAGTCCTTCCTTTCTCGGAGTACCGAGGACTTGGGCGGCGTAGACCTTGGGCCCCGCAAACCCCTGGAAACCAGCAGCTTCGTGGGATCAGGGGCAGGACATTCCCGCCGGTCCTCTAGTGGGCTGAGGCTGCGGTTGTCTGAGACTAGCTCTCGCAGCCCCACGAGCTAGCAAAACCTGCGTTTTCGGCAAACAAACGTCTTTAATAGAAAAATTTGAGGGTCGCCTGGAACCGTCTGGTACTCTAAAGACCTGAAAAAAAAAATCACCAGGTGGGGTCGCGGGGTTGTCGGGGGCGTGTAAAAGGATCCTGCCTCAGAACTCTCCGCGCCTGTTTTGCTCTGCCGGGTTGTGCCCTCATTAGCATGCGCCTACAAGGGAAAATAAGACTTGCCCACAGGTTAATAATCAGCCCGAGCGGGTGCGGGTGCGAGCTAACAGAGTCCCTCCCCCCTCTGCGCTTCCCCCACGCGCACACCTGGGAGGAAAGTTGGTTTCACAGAGGCTGCGTTCTCTTTTTGTCGCCAGAGGAAACCTGTCACACGGTTGGGGCTGGGTTAATGTTTTATGAAGAACTGACTGCCCTGATCTACCAGTGGATCTCACCAAGGAAGGAGCTCGCCCTCCAAAGTGTGGAGGACACTTCCTCCAACTAGTTCCAGGTCCCCAATCCCCAAAGTCTTGAAGTGCTGTCGTGGACCCTCTCACCTCTTTCTTCGGTGAAGCTCCCCAGCACCAGGTTTCAGTTGGAAGGGGGTAGCTGAGATTTCGTTTCTGCACTTGACCTACCGCAGAAAATTCGCAAATCCTTTGATTGTCTGTTTAAAATGAGGAGGAACCAGCTCTTTTTGCGGCGGGATTACAGTGAGAACAAGATCTAAAGATTCCCTTGTAACTCGGTGAGGCAGAGGGAACAGGGTTTGCAAAGGAGAAAAGGCGCTCTGTGAGGGAGGCGATAACTAAATCAGGTTTCAGACAAAAGGATTTTCCCCAGCTAAAGTGGCTGAAGACAAAGGAAAACATAATCTATTTTGGAAGATTTCCAAGATATGCCACATTAACCTCAGCAGATAAATTTTGCTTCTCTCAGTCCTCTCTCTTCCCTTAAAGTCTGGTTTATCGTATTTACATAAGTAGCATTAGAAGGGATGTTTCTATTATGAATCTAAAGGGCTAGCTCACATTTCATGTGAGAACCCGAGCGAGTTTCCACTGTTGCTTTACCCTTGGTGCGCGGTTGAGCCATTTCCATTTAAATACCCCCTGACCCAAGGATTACCTCAATGGACTGACTGCGCGGGTTTTGTAATTTCCTGAAAATGAGATTTCGATTTATAAAACAAGAAACCAATTAGTAACCAAATGAGGCGAAGTAGATCCACTAAAATTGACCTAATCCCACAGGCACCATTTAGGCCCGTTCTTGGTGAATGAATGATGAGCCCCAGTCTAGCGCGCGCTCAAAGCATCATCCAGCTGTGTTATTGCAAGCAGCAAAAATAAATTGATCGGGCTTTTCCTTCGAATGAATTTCATGCCCTTGACAAAATACAGATTACAGGCCAGGCACCATTACCGCCTTTGCTAGCCGGAAAGAGAAGAGCTTGTTGTAGTGGCCCCTTCTTTCTTCCCTCCGTCATCAACAGGGCAACTCCATAGAAATGTGCCCCCCCCCACACACACACACACACAACGCCTAGAATGCCTTTGAGGCAAGAAGGAGGTGTCCCTTGACCCGTCTACCACTGGGGACGGGGGTGAGTTCTTGCATATTCCTCCTAACTTCAGGTCCCCAGAGGCTGGTAGCTGCTACTGGGGAGGAGTGTGTGACAAAGAAAGCCAACTCCCCCCACAACCCCGAATACTACGTCTTCTTCCCTGCAGGACTAGGGCGCCCTGGCTGAAAGACTGCCCCGGCTTTCACTCCGGCTTTCACTCCGGGTTCTGGCTCGGCGCGCTTAGGCTGCGGAGCTCTCTGGGGGAAGAGAGGGTTGCCGAATGGGTGCTCCGGGCGGAACCAGTTCCTGGTGCAGTCCCAGGGCAAAGCACTTTATCCAACGCCAGAGCGCACCAGTGTCTCCACTAGCGCTAGGAATCGACCCTAGCCACTGCGGGAGCGTGGGCTCTCGGAGGCTGAGGAGACCCACCTCGGCGAGGCCTGGCCTGTACCGCTGCGCCGACCCACAGCGGGTGCCCTTCCCTTGAGTGCTCGCCTCTCCCGGACCAGAGCCACGGTGGTTGTGACAGGAATCTTCTAGTGCTTGTGTGTGTGTGTGTGTGTGTGTGTGTGTGTGTGTGTGTGTGTGTGTGTGTGTGTGTGTGTGGTTCGCAGCCCAAGGCCGCAGGTCACTCACTAGTCGCGTTTCTTATGCTTCATCCCGCCCCGGAGTTCACGCTTCCGGTGGAGGAACAGAGGCTGCCAACCAGGCCGTGTAACTTGGACCGCACCCGCTTCGCGTCAATGAACTCTACAAGAACTTGGGGGCAGCAGGGTTTCCCCAGGTCTAGCTTAAAACCCGAGACCAGTGTCCTGCAAGTAGGCTGAAGGTGTCAAGCGCAATGGTCCAGGGCTGAAGTCTTCGGAAATGCCCGGGGCTTGGCAATGTCACCTCCTTAAGAAGACCCTCGCCTCCGTAGCAGGGTGGCTCCGCGCCTGGCGATCTACCGATCCAGCCCTTCCGCGAACGGGGCACGATGATCCTATCTCCCCTGAGCTTTTAACCACTTTCAGGGCTGGCATCAGCGGCTGTGCAGAACAAAGGGTGTGTCACACTCTGGTGTCTAGCAAAGCCTGTCCCAAAGGTAGGGGTAGAGATTTCGCCGATTCTGCGTGGACCTAAGACCCAGTTGGTTTGGAAACTGCCCGGACTAAAAGGGGAGATGCCACAAAATATATTACGCGGACCTAGTGGGCTGCGTGCTTTCTGCAGTGGAAAAAGCGCAGTAGGGTCTCAGATAAAAAGCGACCAGGGGTCTGAACAGAACCACCGGAGTGTCAAATCTGTCAGCGTTTCAAAACTGCGAAAGAAGTTTGCCCTACTCTTCCCATTCCGTTAGCACCTTCTGAGTAGCAGGACTGATCCTAAACAATTGGCAGTCCAAGATACTGGCACTATGTGCCCCACCCAAACAAACCATCAATATTGTTACTATTGATCTCCCTTTCTTGAGAAATACTGACTGACAAGGGAATACCGCAAGAATCCAGGAGTTTGCAATCGAAGCTTGCATCTGACTGTAAAAATTCGAAGCTACCAAGATTTCCCAGAACTGAACCCCCTCCCCCGAAATAAAATCTATCCTTACATAGTTAAGGATATAGCTTTTAGATGGGTGGTTGCGTCCGGTCTGAAAGCATCCCACCATTGCTTAAGGTGTTGTTCGTTTTTAATTTCCCTTAGAAATTATTTTTTTGTTGATCAAATCTACAAGTTCTAGTCATAAATCTGCCTTGCACACAGTTTAATTCTGCACTCACTTAAAACAACATTAAAAGTGGAATAAAGCAGAGAAAGCCAGACTTGAGCGTAAACTGTGCTTAAAGGGGCTTTAAATGAGAAAAACTTGTGTAAGAAAATAAACATGGAAACCCAATGCTCAATCACTTCCCTGAGCAGCAAGAAAAACAGCCTTAAATCATAGATCCACGTGAGAAACTGGGATCTTTTTATTCTTTAGTTTTTTGACTCAAAAATACAATGATTAAAGATTTCAGAATTTTTTGATGAATATTGTAGGTGTTGGGAATTTTGTCCCTAAGCATTTACTAATTTCAACTCTGATTATTTTTATTTTTCATGGACATATTGACAATGAATTGTAGTGATATTACCAAGATTATAAACAGAGATTTGAAACCATATCTGATCTCTCAGTTTATTCTGCATGACACTATGCCCCTGGCCAAAATTACTTTAGAGCTGGGTAACAAATATGTACTTCTTTTAGAGTTGAATTTGTCCTGTTTCGCATATAAATAAAATCATGTTGTTGTTATTTTAATGCTTTTGTAATATTTATTTTTACTTTATGTGCACTGGTGTTTTGCCTGCATGTATGTCTATATGAGGGTGTCAGACCTTGGAGTTACAGACAGTTGTGAGCTGCCACGTGGGTGCTGAGAATTGAATCCGGGTCCTTTGGAAGAGCAGCCAGTGCTCTTAACCACAGAGCCCTCTCTCCAGCCCCTTGTTTTAATGCCTTAATACCATCTTTCTGTATTTGATAGCACCAAGGATTTAGACATTTCTACATTCCTCAATTTTTCTTTTTTGAGACTGTTTTAGAATGAAATGTGATTAGTCAGAAGATATTCACTTTCAATGCTCTCCCAGGACCCTTCCTTGATCTTCCTTTTTTCTTATTAAATCTCTAATGCTGATCCAATGCTTGTTTCTCCCCCTTCTTCCTCTTCTTCTACCTTCACTTCCACCCCCTCTTCCGGATTTCAGGTGTGCACCACCACGCCCAGTTTAATGCTAATGCTTGGTTATTCCTGCATCGTTATCTCCTCCTCACTCCCTCATTCCGCACTCAACTGTTCAGTATGACCCACTCAGAATAAACAAATTAATGCTGAAACATGGACCCAGACAAAGGCTACTCTACTGATAAGGGGGTAAATGTACAGGAAATGACCTATTTTCTCTATCCCCCCCTTCTTTTTTTTTCAGATGAGTGTGGAACATATTTTGTTTGTCCACTTACCGTAATATAACCGTTGTACATTACACAGTACTATAAATGAACGGTGAGATGGGAAAACAAGTTTTACGACGTTGTTATGCCTGTAGCCATGCCATCAGATTTGTAATCATTTGAGATTAGACAACCTATAAAAATCCATGTGGTAGGATATTCACCATGATAAAATAACCATTCTTATTCTTAAAACAAAACTTTATTGAAGACCTACTGTGTAGCAGGAACGCTTCAAGATGTTTAAAGTAACTTCAAATTCTATTTAGCACCACTAAAAATATTACAGAGGTATAAAGTGTTCAGTTTCCCCAGTGCTTAGATTGAACCCTAAGTCAAGGCCAATCTCAAATTTGGCACCCCCTGCAGGTAGTGCCTGGTTCTGCGGCTTGTCACTACTTTGATTCTTTGAAAACTGCTGAGTTTTTTAATTGTTTGTTGTTGTTGTTTTCTTTTCTACCTTAAGGGGCTGTATTTCGCTTTGAGGTTTTTGAAGCTCAAGCAACCTCAAAATTAAAACCTCATCCCTTGGTGCCAGCTGTTCTGATGATCCTGGCTAACTCATCGGGTGGAGGCTGCGGGTGAGTTATGAACTCCACAGAAGCTGGAGAAATAAATGATGTGCCCAGAGTTCACACATCGTCCATCCCCTCCTCCTCATAAACTCACACTCACCCGTAGTAGAAGAGAGGGGAGGTGGGAGGGGCCGGGTTCAGGAAGAGGGGGCTGTAGAAAGCACAATTGTAGGTTAAAGTAGCCAAGGGGCCTGGCCACCGAGAGGACCTCAATGGGAAATCTTTCCTGGCGCTCTGTTAAAAATAACGAGAATTTACTCTGGGTCCTTCTACTTCTTTATAATGTAATTTTTAATTTTTAAGACTTAGAGCCATCAGAAGAAAGCTCCCTCTTTCAAAATACAAAAAAATAACCTAGCGGGTCCTCTCTGAGCTACCACGTTCTGCACGAGCAGACTAAGGTCTCTGGCCTGTGGGTTCCCGGGTTCTGTTGAGTGACTGCTGGGGAAGTCGGCCCTCTATTCTTCTCCCGCGGTTATTCGCTGCCCCACAAGCAGCACCATATGCTGCTTCTGATCAAACAGCCAGCGACATCGGCACCGATAATTGACGAGACCCACTAGAAATCACGCAGAAAGGGAGCCCACTGAGACCACAGTAGCTGACAAATCACTGCTAATAATCCTGTTAGGAACAGTGCAGCCAGCCGAGTTTGAAATAGCTTTATTTTTATAAAGTAGGCGCTGACAGTAGAAAAGACAAAGAGATCTCTTTTTTAGGCAGAAGGCTGTGTGGCGCAATGGTGATTTTTCCCATCGCAACTCTCAGCACAATTGGGATGTGAAATGTGATTTTTTTTTAGTGTATATGTCCTTTCTCCTTTCTTCTTGAAAAATAAACCCAAAAACTTTCTAGGTATTCTAACCTGTGATTTCTCTCCTCCCTGGATTTCAGGGTGAAAAGAGATGTTCAAAGAATCAGCTATATAACTCCACTAATGGGGTTGGGGGTGGAAACCAACTACTCAGAAGGTTGTGTGGTGGCCCTGACTAATTCCCAGTGTTTCTGCAAGCTTTTAAACAAAGATCAAGTGAAGTGAACTTCATCCCCTAGCAATAACTACTCCCCCATCAAAAACAACACCCAACAAACACCTAAAACCAACAAACATGTCAAAAAGTTCGCATTTGTAAATAAACACGGATCTTTCTCTAGAAGTTTTGTTTGTCTAGTAATCAGTCTTTTACATTCTCAAAACTTCCTCCCCTAACAAAATATTTTTCTACTCTATTTGTTATTTAGATGTAAGTAAGGACCGGCAAATGGGAGATTAAATGTCCCTTCCCCAGTGAGTATTACCTTTTCCTGGTAAGTAGAGATGATTTCACACATGATCATGTTCTGTGAAGGCTGCTTTGCCTTCTCACAATGAATCTTGGTCACTGAAATTTCATTTTGAAATCATATCTAATGCTCTGTTATTCTAACTTCTAGGCTGTGTAAGAATTTGTTTGGATTCTTTTGCTAGCCCAACACTGAGGATACATTTCTGCATGTTCTCTCTGCTTTTCTTGAATCTTGGGTATTCTGAGCTCCAGTTTGGTAAACATCTTAAATACTCAGAACCAATTTACTATAAACAGCCAAGAGACTGATAGAGTCAGGACATTCTGTCCGTGCACAAGCCCCGCTTCTTGCAGAATTGTGGTCCTTTTGAGAAATTATTATCTGGCTCACCTAGCTCCACGTATATAGGTCTAATCTATACCTAGAGAAAAAGAAAGAAAGAAAGAAAGAAAGAAAGAAAGAAGGAAAGAAACGAAGAAAAGCAAACGGGCAGTACTCTTGCTTTCTACTGCATATATTTCTGATAAGAGGAATAAAAAGGAAAGTCATGTTTGGATTAACAGTGCTTTCAACTGAGCCAAGTATCTGAAGTGTTGACAAAAGCGTTATTGGGCTTCTTCCCAACCAAACATATCGGGTGGGGTGGAGAGAAACGTATGGGGAGGTAGAGAGGGACTGAAAGGGGCAAGACGAGGCGTTTGGCGCTGACTGTTCAAATAGCTTGGTTAAGTTTCCCTTTGTAGAGAATACAACCCGCGAGGGCGAACACTAGGACATTTCTGTGCTGGCTAGGTAGGCTTACCCCTTTTTTGAAATTCAATCTAGGCACAGCCGCTTACCTTCTGGGAAGACCACTCTCATTTTGAGATAGCTGGTCGTGAGTCTGATTATGGATGCTTTGTCCAGCTGCGAGGTGATGGCTGAGGGTAAAGGCAGTAATTTAGCCAGTTCATAAAATTCACTGTTTTCTTTCTCCCTCCTCGTCCGGGCAGCATTTTTAGACTTTTCTTTCATCGTGTCTCGGGCTCCCTTTCTTCTTACAACGTAAACTCCACAGACTCATCCAAAACCAAAAGTTATCTTTCAATTAGCAATCACATTCACATAACTTTGAACGAAGAGTCTAAACTTTGCTCAGGGAGACCGGAATGATGGTAGGAACTGGACAGTGCAGCAAACAAAATACCTTCTTGAAGTCGTGAGATGTAAGTATAAGAAAGTTGCTGGTCCACAGCAAATCCCGGCAATCCTACGGAGCTCTAAGTAGAAAACGCTGGCAGGACTCCTGAAGAGGCAGCCTTTTCATCGGTTCTGTGGTGAGAACCCCTGTCCTTGGAAAATCGACATAATAATACCCGACGTTTGCTTTTCGTTCCCTCTGGCGCTGGAGACGGTTCGGAGCCGTTTTGTGGAGAGCAGGAATCCCAGGTAACTAACTTCTTTCAGATCACTACGAAAACAAGAACATCAGAGCATAAGAGATCTTTGGCTTGGCTAGACTCACACCCACTGCAATTCCTCAAAACGTCCCCAAAGGGCCTCTGTGCCCACGCTCTGCTTGTCGCTACCCAGGGTATTTAAGACCCAGAGACCGCCGGCAAGTCACTCTTGCCGCCCCCGGGACGTAGCCCCGACGGCTAAAAGCACGTCTGCAGAGCCCTCGGCCCGCCGCGCGCCCCAAGCCAGCTCCCGGGCCGCCGAAGCCGGATTCCGCCGCGCAGAATTCCTCCACTGCCCGCCACCCGGGGCCGCCTCTCCCGCGCGGGGCTTACGTCTGAGGCGTTCCTCGAGAATTGCCGCTTACGCATCAAGCCCCGGGGGAGTCCGTCAGTCATACTCCGGCCACTGCAGAGCAGGGTTAACAGGTGGCACGCGCGACAGCCCCTTGCGGGCATCGCTCTTGGCGCTCTTGGCGCCTGGAGCTTCACTTACCTTACGGCCTTACGCGCCGCGGAGGCTCCCGAGGCTCCCGCCCCCTAACTGCGCTCCTGCGGGCGCGCGGGCTGCGTCTCGGCTCCAACCTCCCTGCTGTCACCCGCAGCCCGCAGAGCGCGCCTGAGCGGCCTTCCCGGGGACATGAATGGGGGAGGGGTAGGTAGCAGGAGGAGGAGGACACGGGCTCGGGACGGGCGAGGTGTTTTCCGAGTCCTCCTCCTCCGTCGGGCTTAGGAGCCCGTACTGTTCCTAATTGGGAGCCAAAAGCGCCCCCCTGTAACTTCTTTATAGCTTACCGGGTTTAGCTTCAACTTCGCTCCCAGGCTCCCTTTCTCCCGCCCTTCTCCCATGCCACTCTCAAGCCTTCCTTCTTCCTATTGGTCAGGCGCGCCCCAAGGCGCGGCGCTCATTGGCCAATCGGGCTGAGTGACTCGAGTGCTCCCCGAGCCACCCCCGACGCGTCTGGGCTCGCGGCTCGGGTCCTACGACGCTCCTGGCAGCTCCGCTCCTAATGAGCCCCGGGCACGGGGTCGCCGCTGCCCCGCTGCCGCCGCAGCTCCCAACCCCGAGGCCTTCCGGGTACCGTGCGCCACTCGCGCTCCCTGGACTAGGGTGTCTGCGCGGCCTTGCCTGGGCTGGGAGCGTTCCGAGGCTGCTGTCTGGCCCGGGCTCCGGGAAGGGAGGCGACAGTAACCCAGAAGGTGGCCAGGATTTGCCCACGGCAGAGCCCCAAGTGCCAGCAGGATATGGTGTGGGAGACCGACGCTGGACATTTTTACCCTGACACCACTGTGACAGAATTCACCGCAAGATGAAATAAATACCTGCCTTTAATTCCAAAAAAGGGCCTCTTTTTCGAAATGATTGGCGTTTGTGGCTGATGCGATGGACAGCTCTACTGGGCAGTTTCCTATGGGAAGCAGAGAGTGGGCTGTCGGGGAAAGGAGGTGATATTTGAGGCCAGAATGCTGGAACGACTGACATACAGATAGACGTCTCACAGCGTTGTTATCTAAACCGTTGGGCAACTCTGCGGGTTTTATTTCAAGAAACAAAAGACAAATCTGAATATTCCTTCTAGAGTGGGCACAGTCTGAGGGAACTTGAAAGGTATACATTTCCCACCAATTCTCAAACGAACTTACAAGATCTGTTTCTGAAAAAAAAAAAAAAAACTGTAGTTTAGAGACCCTCCAGTTTTAAGAGCCTTCCCTTTTGGTCATCTCAAAAAAAAGACAACAGATCGCAATGAAAAAAAAAAAAAAAAAAAAAAAAGCTAAGTTTCCCTTAAGACAAGGCAGCTCACAGACACCATCCTAGGTTTCGCAAGCCTTAGAAGTCAGCAGCTCAGTGGAAACCGTGGGTTCTGCTCCTCTTTGTGCCTCTGAGAAAAATAAATTCTCCAAAGAGAGTCGTGAGAGTCACCTTTAAAAGTGTTCGTTGAAAAGTGTTCGTTGAAAAATAAGAGATCTTCTATCTCCTTGTCTCCCAATGGCAATAAGCTCCTAGGACAATGTGTGGAGAATAATTACACATCTGAGCGACACCTGAAAAAAATGTGAACGATTTGGGGAAAAAGAAAAAGAACTAAACTAAGACTGTGTAGGTCTTTCAAAACTGGAACCAGCTAACAGGGCTATAATCCAGAAGGAGGAGTCATTTCCTCAGTGGCTGTGGCCACTCAGAGGCCCGAATCTGGGTGGGTTCGGACCATCGTTCATCTAAAGAAACACTGTCAATGGGAAATGAGCAGAGAGGTAGAGGTGTCCTGTGGCTCTAATGCAAGATTCCATTAAGACCAGATAATGTCAAGTTCCTTACTGTATGATGTGTGTGATGGCGTGTGTGTGTGTGTGTGTGTGTGTGTGTGTGTGTGTGTGTGTGTGAAACCTTTGGTGACTTCCTTTTCCACTAACCTGCACAGAACTCAGGATAAGACCAGCCACCAAACTAAGCAGCGGGTTTTCTGCTCTGACTGTGTTCTGCACAGGATTTGTGCAGCCAGCCTTTGCTTCACACCCCATCTCTACTTCAAACGAAGCGCAGGCTGTGCAAGTGCCTCTCTGGGGTCTGAAACCCGAACCTACCCTCTGTGGGGGTTGACGGAGGAGTCTGCGGAGGCCAGGCTTATCCAAAGGACGCCTTTGAAGAGGAATTTAGTATTTTGCCTTAGGGGAAAGCGGGGCAAAATGAGATTGGGAGTCTTGACGGAAAAACAAGTGTACTGAGGATGCGGTCAAGTCCCTCCAAAGTCCCCCCGAAGCTCAGCTGCCCACTAAGCCAGGAGATCTCTTTTAATATAGTCAATGCCCGACCCAGAGGTGACCGCCCCTCGCTAAGTCTTCAGCACACAACTATCAGAGCTTCGTTTACCAAAAGACTGAATTAGCCAGGCAACGTACCACCTGTTTTTCTAATCTTTGAGCTGGAACTGGCCTCCTTGGCTCCCACGCCAGGCACCTGGACCCCGCCCGCTGACAGCGAGGGACACCAGCTGGGAGCCCCAACCTCAGGTGTCACCCACGTGCTTGCGCTCGCGTGGGAAATTTTAAACAAGTTTCCTGAGTCTGAGGGCTAACTCTATCCACTTATTTCCCAACGCAAGAAGAAAGAGACCCGCGGATGCATGATCCACTGCTGCCAAGCATAGGTCTGTGCTGTCTAGTCGCTTCCCGAAGCACAGAGATTTTAGGAGCAGGATCCCAAAACTAAAATGTTCTAAGCCCCTCCTCCCCTCTCTCAGTAGGACTAACAGCCAGGCGGGGTGGCCACAGCATTCTTCTGGGAGTCCCTCTCCGCAAGGGCACCCGGAAGCTGGCCAGCGGGAGCCCGTGGTGGCGTGACGGGCTCTCTGGCTTCGTCTGCAGATGCCAGGGGCTGTGGTCGCGCGGGCACAGCAGGTTCCCCGAGTGGATTCGGGAACTGGCGGAGCCTGTGCTGCCAACCCAGTCGGGATAGCCGGGGCGGGGCCTCGACCGGGAGGACGGGCTGACCTTTCTCGATCTCAGATCTCAGGTAAAGTCCAAGCTAGAGACGCTCGCTCGAGCTGAGGTTGTACACGAACAAGTGAACGCTGAAGGGAATCCCAGGACAATTAGCCGATCTGGGTTTCAGCCCAGCAGCCCGAGCATGCATTGTGGTGCTGACCCCTGAGCGGGCACAGACTTTTCTCATGCCTCCTTTAAGCCTTCGTGCCATTTGCAATCATCTGCGCATCCTAGACCTACATCCTAACGACTCCTGTCAGGCTGCCAAAGACACGCATGCACTTCTCAGGTGTACAAAGAACATAGAAAAGGATTTTAATTAATGGCAAGATCAGGATGAAAGGCATAATCGATACAAACCCTGAAGATGGCCGCGTTAAGCAACTAAATATGTTCTATGCAGTGCTTAACTCTCTACCACGGAACAATTTAGGAAAATACTAAGGTCTTCAGAAATAGTTACATTTTTCTTCTACAAACACATGCTGATTTTAATCCTATCTTGGACCTAGAGGTAGATTTTGAAGTTGCTGTGATATTGAAGGACTCTTTGCCCCTCTTGTGGGGTGAGCCTGTCATAAAAAACAAGAAACCTCCAAAAACAGTGTCAAAATTAATATTTTAGAAATTGCAATAAATGTTTCTTCTCTAATCAGGAATCTCTGAAAGTGGGTAGGGAGGGTGGGAAGGAGAGGCAGAGAGAGGTAGAGAGACAGCTTTCTGAGTTGTTACCCACATATCTACCTTAATTGACCTTCGAATTATCAGAAAAGTATTTGCTTCAGTGGCCACACATTGGGAAAAATATCAACTTGAAATACAAGAATGATGAACGCAAGTAAGGATTTTATATCGTTTCTCTGAACATTCTGGATATTTTCCATTCACATTTTGAAACTGTAGACTAAAATACAACCTTGAATTGGCTGCTTACTAGTGAGTGCTGCTTCTGTTGTTCATCGTTGTATAGGCAGGCACAACTTTTACGCTTTAAAATAAACATTTGTTTAAAAGCTATGGCTGCAAAGAAAAGGGATTATGCGCGTTCTGAAGCTATACACTGATGGGAGCCTACTGCTCAGAGAATGGACACGTTCCGCATTGCCTCTTTCCAGAAATTGAGTTAGGAATGATGCGTACCTAATTCAGCGGGACACTGGGAAGCAAGAGAAGTGGTTACTAACTGGTTTCTTAACTGTGAGATCTCTAGATAAATTGGCTGAGACAAGCCAGTGATTTCGGGCAGGGAGGGACTGAGCGAAGTCAGTGGCCTGGGAAAAGGTGAAGGGTCCGAGGTTGGGCATCTCCAGTACTCTAATGCCAATCTCTCAGGGCTTTGGGGGTCTTTGGGTTAGCCTTCTGGAAGGTTTTCTCCTTCCCTAAGCCCCAGTTGTTTTTCTTCCAGCTGCTAGTGTGCCAGCCCACCCCAAACTACATTGCCAGCCTAGCCGGGAACACTTTAAGAAGTGCAGGTAAGGGTGTGGTGGATCCCTTCAAATA